GCACAACTGTAAACATCTGGTGATAAGTGACGGCTTTTGATGGTCATTATATCTTGGCCCTGACTTAGTTTCCGTTTAGCCCATGGGACCTGCAGCCACAAGGCCACATATGGCCCTCTAGGTCCTCAAGTGTGGCCCTTTGATTGAATCCAAACTTCACCCAACAAATCCCCTTAGTAAGAGGATTTGTTCTGTAAAACTTGGACTCCATCCAAAGGCCACACCCAAGCATCTAGAAGGCCATGTGTGGCCTTGAGACCACAGGTTCCCCACCCCCCAGTCTAGCCTGTCCAGCTCCTGAAAAACTGTAGACAGCTGAGAGTAAAGAAGTGGTCTCCATAGGGCTACTCAGTCCATGTCTTCCTGTCTAGTGTGTGAGTAACATGGGAATCTGGGGTGATGGATTTCCTATTGGGTGTAAGAGTTTTCTGCCATATTGGAATGAGAATCCAATAGAGTTTTCATTGGCCTATGGTATTTCTTTGCCCCATAACCAGCTCATGCCCCTAAAAAGAAAGGAATTAATCCAGGGCTTTATGGAGATGAGGTGGCAGGAGGCTGACATTTGTGAGATCAACTGTGATTGACTAGTCTGGGTGAGGGTTCTGAATCTTGGGATTCCCACCCCACCCTGGCAAAAATCAGAGAAACCCTGCTTTACTGATTTGTAACTGCAGATCTTCGGCAGCTGTTAAGATCTGCCTCGGTCTCCCCTTTGATTAGACCTTCTTGTCCTCCTCTGACGTAAATGAGCTCTTCCTGCTTATTATCCCTACTCTTGGGCTTCAGGCCAGGGCAGCTGCATCTGTGCCAGGTGAGATGGGAATATCTGTGAACCTCACCTTCAAAGGATGGGAGAGGAATGCCAATGGAGTCATCTGCAATTGCCTGAGGCTGACAGCTGGCAGGGGATGGTCATCTGGGCTCTTCCTGTCCTGCTTGGGCCACTGTAATAGGGGAAGCCAGCTATGACCATTCTCCATTGGGTAGTTAGTTGAAGGAGGAGAAGAGTCACTTTAGCCCTTTGGGACCTGAGCTAAGGAAGCATGTGTCTCTGCAGCTGTGGTGTTTGCAGACCTTTGGGGATCCTTTCTTGGAAAATATCAGAAAAGATCTCCTTTCCTTTTATGGCCTCTTAAAAAAGCCAGCTATTCCAGAGCCCAGGGAGGCAGATGGTACCTGGGTGAAAGGTGGCATTTTACAATGGAATAAACAGTCTAACTAAGAGTCTGAAATGGTGGAATTTAGTTTAGTTCTCCTAGCTAGGTGATCCTGAGCAAGGCACTGCACAGTGCCTTCTCTCGGCCTCAGTGTCCTCTCTTATAATGTGAGGTAGTTAGATGTGATGCTCTACGGCTTCCTCTAGCCCTGGGATTCTGAGATCGCATGATACTTCTGAAAAGGAAAGGAGGCAGTTTTTGGGCCTCTCCTCTTGCCTTGATTCATTTGCTCTTCTCCTTCCTGGTGTGGACTCTCTCACTTTCCAATGCTTCAGCTCTGTCCAGAGAAGGCTTAGAAGAAGTGACAGGGAGTGAAGTAAGCTGAACCCAGAAAAACAACATACATGACTATATGGATGCAAATGGAAAAAACCCTCCAAAACCTGAAACTAAACACCAAGTAATTATGATGACTGAGAATCTTGGCCCTGGAGATCAGTGGTGAAAATGTACCTCCTTTCCTTCTTTGCAGGGGTAGGGCATGATGAGTGCAGAATATTAACTATTCACAAGATCAGAAATCTGGAGATAGAAGGGACCTCACAGACCATTTAATCTGATCCCCTCATTTCTATAGATCAGGAAACTGAGGCCCAGAGAGGTTAAGTGACTTGTTTCAGGGCTACATAAGTAGGAATTTGAATTCAGATCCTCTAACTCTGGGATCAATGCTCTTTCCTCCATAACTCTGTCAGACGTTGTTGACTTTTTTTTGGGGGGGGATCCTCTTTTTAATTTTTTATAACAATGGATGGCTTAACGGATAAGGATGAGAGGAGGAATACATTTGCAAATGAAAGTGACGTAAAAGCAAAACACATTAGTAGAAATACAATTTTTAAAAAAGAAAAAAAAGCTTCAGATGGGTTCATCCTGCTTTGTCTAAGTGGGTACAGGGTGTCAATGTAGAGTCTGGAGGTCTTGTGACACACTCTAGAAATGGTTGTATTAGTAGGAGACCTGGAACAGGTGGGAACTACTACACAAAGTCATTGAATTGCATTTTCCAAGAAATCTAGCCCAACGCTCTTTATTTCCCAGATGAAGAGACTGAGGTCCATAGACTGAGGTCCATAGACAGTGAATGGCAGAGCTGGGATTTGAACTAGGGCTCTTTATCTGTCAAATGGCAGTGTTGTACTAGATGGCTTTAAGATCTCTTCCAGATCAAACCCTAGGATCCCATGCTCTCTTGGTGGGGGGTTGGGAGAGGTGGGGACTTTAGCTTTGAAGGCTACTTGGACAGGATGAACTTTTAAACTTCTTTCTATAGGGGAGGTGCTCTCTTTCACTCAGCAGTTACCAAACAACTATGAAGCATCCTCTGGCTTCCTGCTTCCTAGTCCTCCCTGAGAGCAGCCTCATGACTTTCTTTTAGTTGCTCAGCTGATCAGTCACGTCTGACTCTTCATTACCCTATGGGCCAACTACCCGTGAGGTTTTCTTGGCAAAGGCATTGGAGTGGTTTGTCATCTCCTTCTCTAGTGGATCCTTTTGTCAGGCAATCAGAGATCAAGTGAATTCCCCAGGGTCACACATTTAGGAAGTGTCAGAGGCTGGTTTTGAACTCAGGTCTTCCTGAAGCCAGACCCAGTGCTCTATCCACTGAGTCACCAGCTGCCTCTTCGTGGCTTCTACTAAAGACTTAATTCTCAGCTTGAAACTCAGTATTCTAGGTCAAGAGGAGGGAGAGCCATGGGAGAGTGTCTGAATGTGGAGCCTCCTGTATTTCATTGGAAGGACCTCAGAAAATGGTCTCCCACAGAAGAGTCATCAGGATCTGCCCTTGGTCATCTGAGTACTCCCTTGTTCTCACTACAAGACATGTTGTCTGTCTTAGTTCCTTACCCATGATTCCGTGCCTTGTACCTCTCTATCTGTGCAGGTTTCCTATTAGCGCCAGAGCTAGTGGCCATATATACTTTCCTTAGAAGTGTGAGGTCAGCATGCCAGCATATGGGGTGCAAGCAGTTAGCCTAGGTTGTGATACACTGATGAAATTCAGTCAAATAGAAGAGCAGTTCCATTGCTGGTCCTCTGAGGCTTGCACATTTTCATTTAGCTCAGATTTAATATTCAAGGAGAGTTTCTGTTCATCCCCCAGCTATATTACTAGACTTTGCCCCAACCTAACCAGGATTCTGCATGTCTGCTTTGTTTCCTTTGGGCTTGTAAAACTCTCCAGGAGAACATAAGCTCTCTGAGGACAGTGGCTACTTTGTATTTTGTCTTTGTCTATCATGGCACCTTGCACATAGTAGGTGTGGATTGGACTTGCTGGCTTCCCCCCCTCCCCTGCCTACTCTCTCCACTTTCCTCTTCCCTCCCAGGCCAGCTGGGCAATAAAGCTGCTGCCCCTGCTCTAGGCAATAAAGAAACAAGAGGTAAGCGGAATTGAGTTTAATTAGCAACTTTAATTAGCATCTTCTGAAAAGATGGGACACCCACCTACCAGGTGGAGGACTCGGCAGGATTAAATTATGTATTTAAGTAAGTAATTGAGTAAGTATTAAGTAAGTATTAAAGAATGGAAGAACACACAAAGAGTTCAAGGACCAGGAGTCAGGCAGCAGCTGGAGCTGGAGGCTTTAATGTTTTACCTTCACATTTGGAGAAAAAGGACAGAGAGTTGGACAATCAAGTGGACCCACCATGGAATCACATAGAATACAAATCACATCTCTGAAGTTTAGAAACAGCCTGCATTAGTGGCCCAGAGTGAGCTAACAACAGAGAAAACAACAAGAAAGAGGGAATTCAGAGGATCCCATCTCATTCTCCCAGCTTCACTTTGTAGCATCAATTATTACATCGTTGCCATTCTCCTGGCTACCATAGCACCAGAATGTTGATGCCCAAGGGTCTGGGGATAGTTGTAGAGTATGGAACAGAGATTTTTCCACCCCTGAGGAGCTGGGCACCTTAACAGATTTTGCTGGATTTGGTGACATATCTTCTTCCCTCTGGTAGAATGCGGCTTTGAAGGGAGGGACTGCTTTTGTCTTTGTCTTGGTAATTATATAAACTAGCAGTGCCTGGAATGTATAATATAGGCCTTTTAAAAATTCTCAAAGGATTTAATTACTTTTCCTTCCCCTATAATACTCTGTGTGTGTGTGTGTGTGTGTGTGTGTGTGTGTGTTGTTTCCAAATTAATTTGTATTTGAGAATCACTTGAGAATTCAATAATTTATAAAACATTCATTAGGCAGTTAACTAGTATACATGAGACACCCTGCAAGGTGCAGAGGATACCAAGACAAGACTGAAACAGTCCTTACCTTCAAAGAGTTTACATTTTAAAAATGGATCCATTATATCCCACTAAGTGGGTGGAAACCTCTTAAGATTCTACAAACCCGGTATTGAGAAGGCTGATGTAGTAGAAAGAAGGCTGGATTAGGAGTCAGGAAGCCAGGGATTCTTCTCCTCGATTTCTTACTGACTACCTTTGCTTTTATGTGCTTCAGTTTTTTTCTCCATATAATGAAAGGGTTGGTCTTTGAGGTCTCTTTCAACTCTGACATTCTATGGTTTTACAGAAGCACTGATCTGCCGCATGCCATTTTCCCACTGTTTGGGAGATACACGCTTATTTATAGAGATTGCTGAGATACAGTGAGAATCACTTTCCCAGAGAAAGATCGTGACCCGAACGATGATCAGGAACACTTGCCAAGGCAAAGACACGAGAAAAACCAATGAGAACAGAGTCATAAACAGGAGAACTTCACCATGATACGGATTATGACTGGGCTTTTTAATCTGTGGGTCATTTCTTTTGCCTCCAGATGTTGCCACAGCTGTGGAATTTTAGATTGATGGCTATTTACCCAGGTTAGGGAGCAGACATTTCTCTTGGCATTTTTGAGGGACTGATTCCGTACACTTGACCTGAGATAGCTCTTGGCATTGTGGCTCCAGGACTTGGTCTTGGCAGGGTGGTGCACATGGGTCTTGGCACTGAGAGAGACTTGACTCTTGGCACTGCTGTGGACTTATTTCTTGGCATGGCTCCTGGCATTTAGGGAGGCACTGTTCCTGGGCTTGCACTGGACATGTTTCTTGGCACGGTGGTGGACAGGGCTCTGGAACTTGCACTGGGCACTTCTCTTGAGTTTTCTGAAGGCAAGGAGGAGGCAGGCATGGCTGTTTACATTGCTGCTCACTAAAAGACATTTTGTCTGATGTGCAGAAACCTGAAACAAATAAGAGTTGGCATTTTTCATGTTCGACCTACTGGTTGTAGAGTAGGAGTGATATTGGTGGTGAGAGAAGGGAGCAGGGATTTGATAGGTTTGGATTTTAGAAAAGGAAGAGACCATAGAGAATGGAAAGATGACTGCCTCTGGAATCAGCCAATTAACAAGCATTTATCACATGCTTTCCATGTTTCAGGCGCTGTGCTCAGTATACAACGAAAGGCAAAATCAGGGTTCAGATCCTACCCATGATACCTGCCAGCACAACCTTATACGAGTCACTTGACTTCTCTTGGTCTCAGCTACTTCATCTGACTTGTTGGTCCCTGAAGTCCTTTCCAGCTCCACATTTATGATCCTAGTCCAATCCCACTCTCTTCCCCCTGTTTAGTGTTCACAAAATCGGAAGAGCATTGTTTCTCTGCCAGATTCTATGTCTGATCTTTTCTGTATCCTTGACCTTCCCCTCTCCTGTTTCCTTTTCTCATCTTAGTTGGGGGTATTTCCCATAGCTTCAAGTCTGGATTTCCTTATACCCCAGCCTCCCAGGCTCCCCTGGAATGCTTTTTTCCTTTCCCTTTCTCCTCAAAGTCTTCTTTTTATCCTGGTACCATTTTTCTTGGAAAAGTCAGGTGAGAGAGATTCCGTTGCCTAGAATTGACACTGGCTTGTTAGGAGGAACCAAGAGAGGATTGCAAACCATTTTGGAAATAATCAGAAAACAGGAGAAGCAGCAAGAGGATAGGGGTGAAGGAGAAAAGAAGTGAGTCACCCTTGGTCCTTGGGTTGTAGGTTCCTAGAGGGATTAAAAAAAACACACCAAAATAGATATAGGCAAGACAGCCAGCAAGTGAGGCCACCAGGCTCAGTTAGGGCATCTGGACTTACCCAATTCTCCTCCAGGTGAGACAGAGTGAGGCCTGTTGAATGGATTGAGAAGGCAGTGGAGAGGAGGATTTTTATGCAGTCTTTGGCCAGCCTCCTGCCGGGCCATCGGGCCACGTGGGCTGAACCCCTAATTGTAGAGCTACCACAAGGATCTCTCGATAACTGCCTCGGGGTTTGAATCATCGCTTGTGAAGCTTGTTAATCAGCCTCCTTTTCTAGGTCCGGGCACACACTGGGACCTGAAAAGAAGGGATATTTCTGGACACCTTTCCCCCACCCCTCAGCTTTCACCTTAGAGGTGATGGGAGAAGAATGTTTGAAAGATGTTATCTTGTTCTCTTCAAACCCCAGGGTCTCTTGGTGCCTACATGTCTTAGCAGGGGCTTGCGCAACTCACTGGGGCCATAAGTGAGAGATAAGATCCATCTCCTTCATCTTGTATATGCCAACATGAAGGGAGCCTCAATGGCTTCTGAAGCCAAGGGGTCTGTCTGGGAGATGGGCTGGGGGCCAAGAGGCTGCATAGCCTGTTTCAGAGACTCCCACTCATGGAGGGACTGATTTACCTAACCGAACAAACCCACCCCTGGGGCCAACCCGGTGGTTTCAAGAAAATGAAGGCAGAAATGTTCTCGCAGAGAGCAAATGGTTTCCTAAAAGGAGGCTTTGGTGAAGACTAGGGGAGAGGTCAGGCTGGCTGAATATCCTTTTCTTTCCCTCTTCCTTCATCTTCACTAGTTAAGGGATTACTCATTGGTTTATTTCCATTGCCACCCAGAAAGGTGGGTGGAATGAGGTAAGAATTCTTGAAAGACTTCTTCAAGTCAATAAAAGTCTAGGGGGATGAAAGGGAGAGTGTTGAAAGAAACACACTTTGGGTGGCTGATCCTTAAATTCTTCCCTCTTCCCTGACTCCTCCAGTTAAAATCCTCTTCATCCTTACAGCTCAAGTGCCACCTGCTACGGTAAAGCCTCCTGTGATCCCCCCACTGGAAGACTTTGTCCTCCTCTGATCCCTTTCCTGTAGTATTTATGATTTGTACCATCCACATGGCACAGCCCAGTGCCAAATAGGATCACGGATTTAGAGCTATAAAGGACCATGTAGTGCAAATACCGATTTTACAGATGAGACAGATGAAGCCTGGAGATCCTATAACTTGATTTGGATCACACAGACAGCAAAGTGGAAGAGCTGGGGTTTAAATCCAATTCTCTGATTCTAAATCCAGCACTCTTTCCACTGTACCACACTGCCTTGAGTGTGTATTTATGGTTATTTGCATAAAGTATTTTCACTCCACTACAACCTTCTTGAGGACAGAGATTGCGTTTGTAACTTTGTATCTTCACAGTGTCTAGTATAGGTCTTCATACATAGTGAGTACTCAGTAAGTATCGGTTCAATATATGTACAAAGCATTGTTGTTGTGTCATTTCAGCTGTGTCCAGCTCTTTGTGTCCCCATTTGGGGTTTTCTTGGCAAAGATACTGGAGTGGTTTGCTATTTCTTTCTCCAGCTCATTTGACAGATGAGGAAACTGAGGAAAACAGGATGAAGTGACTTGTCCAGGATCACAGAGCTAGCTAGTGTCTGAGGTCAGATTTGAACTCAGGCAGATGAATTTTCCTGACTTCAGGCCCTGCACTCTCTCCACTGTACCACCTAGTTGTTCATAAAGCACTGGAAGAGAGCCAAATTTTAGTTAAGACATGCTTCCTACTCTCTAGGAGCTCACAGTCTAGTAAAGTATATGGTGCCTAGATAACTATAATAGACAGCTTTGCACGAGAAGATGTAAGCAGAGTTTGAAGTGAGGTCTTAGGAGTTCAGCCCACATGGCCTGATGGCCAGGCAGGAGGCTGGCCAAAGACTGCCACTAATGGGGGAATCAGGGAAGGCTTTGTCAATCCAGAGGAATTTATTAAGCATCTATGGTATGCCAGGCACTGTGCTAGATGCTAGAGATACAAGTACAAAGAATGAAATGTCTAATAGGCAATTGGTGATGGAAAACTGAAACTCATAGGAGAGACAGGCTGGAGATTCACACATACGTATGCATGTATCTTCATAGAGTAGGTGGGATTTGAGCTGTGCTTGAAAAGATGGGTAGGAATTTAGCAGTCTCAATGGCAAGGAGAAAGCATGAGCAAGGGACAGGGTTAGGAAAATGTGGTGTGAGCCTGGAAGATAATTAGTAGTCCATTTTGGGGGAATTGTATATAATTTAGAGGGGATTAATGTGAGATAAGACTGGAAGGATAGAGTAGTAACAGCTTGGAGGGTTTCAAATGGCAGATTAAGGAATTTTAACTTTCTTGATTGGGAGAAGAAGAGCCAAATGATTTTTTCTCAGCATGAAGAAGATTAGTTCGGCCCATGTGAAGGACAGGTTGACAGGGTGACAACTGACCCAGATAGATGGTAATGAAGGATTTGTGTACTGGCCGTGGGAGCAGAGAGGAGACAGACAGATACTGCCAAGAGATACTGGTGACTGATTCAAGCTCACAGCCATGACTGGATATGAGAGTTGAGGGGAGGGAAAGACTCAAATAAAGCTCCAGGTTTTCAAACCTGGGAGACTGGGGAAGTAGCAGATTTTTGGGAAGGTTAGCTTGGTTTTGACCATGTTGATTTCAAGCTGTCAGCAGAATATACAGGTAAAAATGTTCCGTGGGTGGTTGGAGAGACAGTTTTGGAGATATGAACTGAGGAGAGATGGAGTCAGGAGGATAGGGCTGGAGATGGGTCGCCATTTGAGTCAAGATGATAGCTGAAGCCATGGGTAATAATTTTCCTAGGGAGAAAGTTTAGACACAGGGGTGGGGAAGAGAAGAGGATTGAGGATAGAATCTTCGTGGGCACCCACATTAGGGATCAGGGAGAAGGTGCAAAGCCAAAAAAAAAATCACAAACAAGCAATTAGTAAGTGCTTACTGCATACATGTCAGGCATTGTGCTAAACACTGGGAATGGAAAGAAAAAGCAAAAACAATTCTTGCCTTCAAAAAACTTACATTCTAATGAGAGACAACATGTACATAAATAGCTACATACGCACTCCTACAAAAGTCAATGAGAAGACATCAATGATATAAAATACCTTGGACAGTGATCAATTAGGATGAGAAGGGGAAAAAAGACCAATAGATTTAGTAATTAAAAAGGTTACTGGTGATATCTGTGAAAGTAATTTCATAGGAGTGGTGGGAATATAAGACAAAACATTGACAATGTGATGTATAACTAGAGGAATTGTGCACAAGCTATTTTTTCAAGGACTTTGGCCCTGAAGAGGATAATAGAGTTGTGATTAGCTAAATAAGGTGAAAGTCAAAGGAAGCATTTTAAAAAATGGAACAATCAGGGGCAGCTAGGTGGTGCAGTGGATAGAGCACCAGCCCTGAAGTCAGGAGGACCTGAGTTCAAATCTGGCCTCAGACCAAACACTTGGTACTTACTAGCTGCGTGACCCTGGGCAAGTCACTTAACCCCAATTGCCTTAAAAAAATGGGACAATCTAGGCACCTATATAGGCAACTGGGAAGAAACTGTTTGGAGAAGGAGAAACAGATGTGTGTGTGAGAGAGGATAATTGTGGGAGGAAGGTCCTGGAGGAGGCTGAAAGGCATGGGATTAAGGGAACAGGTAGAGTAAACAAATAAAAATGGATGAATTGAGGAGGATGGAGTTCATGGAGAAGGGTTTGTTTGAATGGGAAAGGAAGAGAAAATAGATCAATGGGAAAGGAGATTCGAATCTGTAAAATTACTAAGAGGATGTAGAGGGTGACAACCAAACCTTTAAATGCTAGGAGAAGGATGCCCCCATTGAAGCTTTAGGAAAAGCATTTAGGCTGAATGAAAGGAAATGACATTGGACTTAGTAGAAAGAAAACAGATGGGACTCATTACTCTGAAAGGTTATCTAAGCTTTGGACAAATTCATGGGATCATAAATTTAGAGATCTCAAAGGCCATCAATTCCAACTGCTCTCATTTTATAGTATAGTATGGGGTATAGAGTGATGGAAGGGGAATCCAGAAAAAGTGCTATAGAAAAATCTGAGGAAGAAGACAGGATTTCTACCTGAGGGGCTTAGAGGTCTTTCCTTCCTTCCTTCCTTCCTTCCTTCCTTCCTTCCTTCCTTCCTTCCTTCCTTCCTTCCTTCCTTCCTTCCTTCCTTCCTTCCTTCCTTCTTTCCCTCCTTCCTTCCTTCCCTCCTTCCTTCCTTCCTTCCTTCCTTCCTTCCCTCCTTCCTTCCTTCCTTCCTTCCTTCCTTCCTTCCTTCCTTCCTTCCTTCCCTCCTTTCTCTTTCCTTCTTCCCTCTCCCTCCTTCTTTCTTTCTTCCTTTCTTCCCTCCTTCCCTCCTTCCCTCCTTCCCTCCTTCCCTCCTTCCCTCCTTCCCTCCTTCCCTCCTTCCCTCCTTCCCTCCTTCCCTCCTTCCCTCCCTCCTTCCCTCCCTCCTTCCCTCCCTCCTTCCCTCCTTCCCTCCTTCCCTCCTTCCCTCCTTCCCTCCTTCCCTCCCTCCTTCCCTCCCTCCTTCCCTCCCTCCTTCCCTCCCTCCTTCCCTCCCTCCTTTCCTCCCTCCTTCCTTCCTTCCTTCCTTCCTTCCTTCCTTCCTTCCTTCCTTCCTTCCTTCCTTCCTTCCTTCCTTCCTTCCTTCCTTCCTTCCTTCCTTCCTTCCTTCCTTCCTTCCTTCTTTCCCTGTTCTTACTGGGTCTCCCTCTCTCAGTCAGGCTGCAAGTGTAAGAGCTGTTCATAGGTCTAATCTCATTGCTGATAACCCCAGGAACTCTGACTTGCTTCATTTCAAATTTGTGTTGGTTTGCCCCTCCTTAGGCAATCTGCTCCTCTCCGCCTCCCACTCTAGGGCTTATGATATTAGTGCTAAACTTAGTGAGGACACCAGATTGGCATAGCTCATTGAAAACTCCTGGCCTCAAGAGACAGGTCCTCCAACCTCAGCCTCCCAGGTGACTGAGATTATAGGCACGTGCCACCATGCCCAGCTCAGAGAAGGTTTCATGGCGACTGTGTCACCTGTGAGTTGAGAAGGAAGTGAGGGAGTT